ATGGACTAACGGTACAAAGAAGCTACTGCCATGTTTAAAGATGCACAGATGCCTTTGAAATTTTCATTGCGAAACCAGTTGGTGGGTCGATTGTAATTACTTCATTATTTATTTTATTGCTTCAAGTGTTACAGAAAGAATGCTATTTATAGGCTCTTATCAATCCTCTCACGAGACGGAAGGATGCCGATATCAATCCTTCATGATACTCCATGACTGGGAAATTATCTTTTAATCCCCCGCCCCCCCCCCCAAGGCATTGTGTTGTGTGGATTCTAACTGAAAAATAACGAGTATTAACAATCAGAGAGAGATATAGCCATGATTTACTGCGTGAACGTTTGTTTCGATTGTAATTACTTCATTATTTATTTTATTGCTTCAAGTGTTACAGAAAGAATGCTATTTATAGGCTCTTATCAATCCTCTCACGAGACGGAAGGATGCCGATATCGATCCTTCATGATACTCCATGACTGGGAAATTATCTTTTAATCCCCCGCCCCCCCCCCCCCAAGGCATTGTGTTGTGTGGATTCTAACTGAAAAATAACGAGTATTAACAATCAGAGAGAGATATAGCCATGATTTACTGCGTGAACGTTTGTGGAATTTTGCATAAATACTGGTAAATTATCATTACGTTTCCAACGAAATCATTGAATATCATTATGAAGATTTGACCCTCACCATCTCATGCAGACCGCCCCACTGTCGTCTGCCATCTCCCCCGGCCCAGAGACTCATGCTTAATCTCATCCACCACGCCCACACCACACGCCCCACATTTGAATCCTCCCTCAACCCCATCACCCCCCCCCAGCACTCCCATGATCATAATCCCTCCCCTTTCGTTAAACTCTTTGTCAGCCTTTGCTTGGAATAGACGTTGTACTAAGAATGTTTAGTCTTTGATTGCGATATTGATAATAGCATTAGGCGGCGCGACTCTCCCTACAGAATTTCAGCTTTTTATTTTGTATAAATGTCGAAACAATATGATAACCAATAGGTAAGTACCAAGATAAGTATAATTTTTTTTTTTTAAAGAACTGCGTTGGATTTTTATTTATGTTACTTTTTTTTTATTTATTGGCTGCTGCAAGAGCCGCGTATGAATCCATTGCTTCCTTTTACGACCCATTAAAACTTACCCGAAGGGGGGGGGGGGGGGTAATTATTGGAAGGGATGGGACTGTAGATAGGTGACAGGTAGTGGATTAGCGTATAAAAAGATAAGCTAGAATATATGTATATTATATTTTGTTTAAGGGCTAACATTTGGAAAAGGACAAGCAATATTCCGTCACAATTAAATGATAGTTCTTCTCTTTCCCTCGGGGAATTCCCCCCTCATTATTTCTGTGACGCCCCCATGGGGTTAGCGTAAGATGGAAAGTACTCTTCTTTTTTTTTTTTCAGAAACTAATTATCATCAATCTTTGTCTATGAGGAAACGAATGGCCTTGGTTATTTAGTGTCTTGGTGTAGCCTACAAAGGAATGTGCATTATTTTAGCTCAGTGGACTTTTGGTGGTATGGTTTTACAGCGCTGGTTAGGATGGCGAACGTGTACTTGCCAACTGACTTAATTATTGGGGATCAACTTAATATACGCAACCATGTTAGTTTGAATGAATTTTTCACAGAACGAACTCATTTAAATGGCTGGCGGCTGGGCTGAATGTGAAAGTTATAGAGCTGTACAATTCACTAGGTAAGCAGCTTTGCTTAAAGTTTGTCCAAACAAAACAAGTAATGGTGAATGTTACACGGTTCGAGTGTAAATACCAATATTAGTTTATGGTGTGTTTGTTTTTATTTCAACATTTTTAAAGCAAAACTCACATTTTTGTTCTTCATGCTTTCGTTGAACACTTACTTACTACTCTAATCTTTAACATTTTAGATGGGATTATATTATATTCCCCTCACTTTGGTTAGTATTGTATTTGCATTTTTAAATATTAAACCTTTAATAAGGAATGTGTATAATATTATAATCATCTCATCAATTGAAGCAAATACTCATATTATCAAATTCCTCATCAAAATTGTATTCTTTGTATTTCGGGATATGAGAGGGTAATATTAGGCAATAAACAAGATTTGATTGTTGTTTTGTTTTTTACAATATTTTAAATATTTATTTCTGAAAATCGAGTTTCATTGACTCTCAATATCAAATACAAATCATTAATGATTAATGACGAGAAATAGTCAGTGTAGATTTTTCCTTACAAAATCATTACTTTGAAAAGACTGGTAGGAAAATAAACAAAAACTTGATAATTGCGAACAATAATCGAAAGCATCGCCTTAGCCAGGGGTCACCGAACTTTTTTCACGGCGGGCCGGATGAACTGGCCAGATAACGGAAAAAAATGACGAAGCGGGCCGGATAATCATTCTGTACAATACTTACAAGTAAGTTCAAGTACCGTCGGCGGGCCGGATGAACTGGCCTTTGCCTAAAGTCAAGTATATACATATATTAAAATGCTACTTTTTAATAGGTCAATGTGGCCCTTATAATAAACTCCACTATGTTGTTATGCATGTGTGATTTTTAGTTTAGGTGCCACAATATATATATATATATTATATATAGTCATGGTATGACGCTAACAAAAGGACACATTGTGTTGTGGTTTGTTTTGGTTTTTATTTTTTATTTTTATTTTTTTTAAAGGGGGTTTATTTTTGGGTTTGTTTTTTGTTGGTTTTTTTTCTGTTTTTTTTTGTTTTTTGTTTTTTTTGCAGCTTTTTTTTTTAATTTTCCCACACCAGGTGGCATTAACTCAAACTGCGTCACTGTGAATTACCTTTTTTATTTTTTAAACTGGATACATCACCTACACAATGACAAGGCCAAAATGCATAATTAATTAATTGACAGTCTCATTCGTGGTATCCGAAGGGAGAAAGACAACGCATTCATCCATGAACTCTTGTCAAAAATAGATTATTAAAGAGATACTATCAGATCTGGAAAGACCTGAAAATTGTTGGGTACAAAGAATTTTTAATAAGAGAGAAAAAATTGGCCTATCATCCATAGATAAATACTAGAGATATACAAGGAGTGGGAGTTTGAAGATTACAAATACGTTTCGCTACTACAAGAGAAGATAAGATAATATAATTTAAGATAAGATAAGATAAGATAAGATAAGATAAGATAAGATAAGATAAGATAAGATAAGATAAGATAAGATAAGATAAGATAAGATAAGATAAGATAAGATAAGATAAGATAAGATTATTTTATTCAACCAAACAAATGGAAATGTTTTTTGGTTTCATTGTACATTTTCAGCACATAAATAAAATAGTTTGAACACTAGACATCTATATTAAATTATTTCACTATTGGAAAGAAAAAAAACAGCCATTCACTGAATTCTCTTAGCCATATCAAGGACATATTAGTTCTCCTTAATATTTGTGACTTCATGGGGAGCACGCTGGTAAATTCGTACAGATTGGGGAACAAAATAAGTTTTATTTCTTTCAGTCCTCGCCCTGACGGAAAGAATTCGTCCCGAACGGGCTGATCCTAAACATCAGTGATCAAGAGGGTGGGATTTATCATCCAAAATGTGTTTAGTTGTACAATAACATCTTTCTTCAAATAGTTTTCAAGTGAAGGATGCTTAGTTTGTGTTATGTTCCTAGCTTTCTTGATTACTCGGTTTATGCGGTGTTAAATATCAGACGATGAATTCCAACACCAGCAGGTAATATTGAAATTAAGTAGTCTTCCAATTGTTGCACTGTAGAATAAGTTAACGACTTGTTTGTTTACGCCAAAATTGTACAGTTTTTTTTTGTTTTTTTTTGAGGTAGAACGATCTTTGGTTGAATTTCTTATACAGCATTTGGTCATGCTCATGCCATTTTAGCTTACTATTAATGCTGATACTTAAATACTTATATGCCTCTAATTTCTCTACACTTTGATTTTTTATGTTGATATCTGTAATCTGGTGTTTCCCCCTCACGAAATCAACAACCATTTCCTTTGTTTTTAAGACATTCAGCTGGAGATAATTTTCATCGCACCAATTGATAAAGCTTGTTACTAAGTTGCGGTATAGGCCTTCTCCTTCAGATATTAAGCCAACTATAGATCTAGTGGTATCATCTGCAAATTTTAAGATTGGAACGGTGTCGCTTGAGCTTTGAATATCATTGGTATATTTTGTATACAGTACAAGGGAGAGAACGCAGCCTTGTGGCACACCGGTGCTTATTTCTCTGGTTAGAGATCATTTGTCATTTACCTAGACATACTGTGGGCGATTTGTTAAAAAGTTCAGTATCCAAGCTTGAATATTTAAATTTACACCTAACGAGGAAAGTTGTAGGCCTACTACAAGCACATAATCATAATGGCATAATGTATAAATATATTGCATTATGCATATCAAGTAAATTTAACAATTTGAATTTTCTTGGAGACCATATCTCTAATGATCAAGTGACAAGTGAAAGATAGGATTCGTCAAGCAATTGGGCAGTATGATGACCTCCTGGGGGCTGTAAAAAAGCGCAAACTGGAATGGTATGGCCACGTAACAAGAAAACAAGAGCTCGCCAAAGAAATTATGCAGGAGGGAGAGGAGGGAGAAGAAGAGGAAGACAGAGGAAAAAATGGAAAGATAACATCAAAAGGTGGACGGGACTAATACTAGGCGACGCAGTGCGAAATGCAGAAAACAGAGAGGAATGGAGGATAGTTTCCATGTTACCTGTGGCGCCCCAACGGTCCAAGGATTAAGGGACATGATTTGATAAATAAAATTTTAAAAAAAATTTTACCATGCATTTTTATCCTAGCTGAAATAAAAATGAAACCTATGTTTTAAAATAAAAAAATAAAAATATCACCTCCGACGGGACTCGAACCCGCAATCCCCGGCTTAGGAGGCCGATGCCTTATCCATTAGGCCACGGAGGCGATGATATCTTACAGCCAGGGAACTTACATATAGTTAATAAATGGATAGAATAACGGAAGTCGTTTATTTTAAAGATTTATTTCTTACCTTTCGAGGCAAGTTTAACTTTTGTGTTTTCGTTTTTACAGCGACTGTGGGCCAAAACAGTACAAATAGTATAAGTATAAAGTATATAAACAAGACAAAAATTACTTTTTATGAAAGTTAGGAAACAACTATGGTTTACCAATAATTTTGTGTATACCTAGTTTACGATAATTTACGCAAAAAATGCCACGAAGTAGAAGTAGATCACCACCACCAAAAAGAGGTACGATAATTTTTTTTTTTAGTTAACTTACACTTACTATCACACTATCACTAGACTAGTTACACTCATTTCACTCAACAGTTTCAGTTACTGAGTAATGTGAGTTACCCTGAATCACTTACACTTACTGTTAATTAATATTACTATATAATTATATTATAAAATAGGCCTACTATTACTATTAATTATTATTCACTATACAACTTATACTTATACAGTTTACAGTCAGGCACTGAGAAAGTAATATGAAAAAAGGTGGAAATGTTAAGGACAACTGCCACTATTTTATCGAATTTCACGAATGAGTTGAATGTATCCCTTAATCGATCCCTATGCCTAACCTGAACCCTAAAAATGTGACGGCACATATTAAATGGATGGCTCCTAATTACGTATCACACAGTACCTGGTCTATACAATTTAAGACCAATTTGAATATAGGTGTCATGAAATCTCTTGTTTAGTCTGTTTAGTTCAATGACTCTCATACATCATACAGGAAACAAAAATAGTTGATTACAAATTAAATATGGTTTCCAACATATAGTGCTAGCAGACTTACCTATTGTATAGGCAGTATAGGTAGTGCAATAATTAGTTTTGATATCAGCGACAAGCATTATAAGTCCGATGAAAAAAACTAGATCGTAAAGATCGCCCTCCTCTTGTGAACGAAATTGGCAACAGTGTGTCGATTGTCTGTCCCTTATATAAACAAAGGAAACTAGATCTCCATATGACACCGTTACCTACCTGCATTAACCGGTTACCTGTTTACTTTCTGTTTCTTGCGTACAAAAAAATGATCAGCATGTGCCGCTTAGTAAAGTACTTACTAGTAGTAGCAGTTGTAGTAATAGTAATATTAGTAATATTTAATAGCAAATTGAGTGTTGACCGTTTTTGGCTATGTTTTAATAGCCTTCTCTGAGTCTGACTGTTTTTAGGTCTTTACTACATACTATTCTAATACTAATTTTAAAAATATTACTTAAAAGTTAAGCTATATGGGATGGGCTTAAAACTTTACATGTTGCAATATACTATAATAATAATGTGAATCAAAAATAATTAGTCCTAGCCTAATTAACTTAATTTTAAATTATTTTGCAGACAGAAGAAGATCAAGATCTCGTTCTCGTGATCGCAGACGTAAGTAGCACTTAAATAATCCTATCACTATTGCCTATTAATCCAAGTTGTCAATAACATGCTCAAGTCATTCTCTTATTTTATAATTTCACATTGTTAACTCGGTGGTCCCTAATCATTAAGCCTAATGAAATAGCCAAATTTAATATTCTACCCCAGTACAAAGGCATTTTATAATGCATAAAATTTGTAGGTGTGATGAGTAAGCATAGGCCATTGGTCTCGCATAGACCATTGGTCTATTCTTTGATTTTATTTGACCAACCTCTTATTTCTATTGTAGTTCCATTTTATTTTTAAGGGGATTGTACCAAATAACATCACTAAACTGTGATTAAATAAAACTTTCTAGGTTTTTTTTCTCCCTTCAGATTGCATGATTTTAAGTAGGCAACAATAAAAATTCAAATAAAAATGTATGTGTTTCTGACTTCAGATAGAAAACCGAAAAGAAGTAGGTCCAGATCGCCCAGACATAGAGTTTCTCCACCACCAAGACACAGATCTCGATCAGCTTCACCAAGAAGAAGGTAAGTGTGAATTAAAACTAAGAATGAGAGTTGGTGGAGTCTTGAAAATTTGTTCCTGGGACAAAAAGCTCATTTCTAAAAAATAGGCGATCGCCCCTTAGAATAAATGCGGCTGTTGCTTTGTCTTGACATTACAGGCATATATGCTGCTATAGATGTCAATTAACTTTTGGTTAAGTGCAGATCACAGTCTTTTCTCTGGTAATAAATATATGCTCTCCATGACATGCTTTGAGGGAATTAAGTGTTAACTGTGCACTGCACTGGTCAGGTGCTGATTTCAAATAAAACAGTTTTCAAAATAGAGATTCAGTTACTGCTTACCATCTTATAAAGTATCATGTAAATATAGCCTTACTAAGTAGAACATGATATGTTGTAGCTTCAATAAAAAAAAAAGCAAGACAATGAAATAAAAGTTTCTGCTAAATATATCTTTTTTATAATTTTCATGTGTTTCGCATTGTTGAATTTGCAGAGGAAATCATTCAGCCGAAATTTTCTTTTTATTAATTTTATTGTCATGGTTTGTTATTCAAGCTGCAACATATCTTGTTATTAATATTTCTTTCACATGGCTTGCACAGTCTCTAAAGCAATATATTTTATAAGATGAATTATGGGGAAAGCTTCTTAAAATCTATAACATTTTAAACATTACCATACAACACAACTTTGTTTAATTTAAATGACATCTTTAAAGTTGTTGTTTTTCTTCGAGATTTTTTTTTCCTATTCCTTTTATGATAAAGTACTCAGTAGGGAGGATAAAATAATTTTGTAGCAACAATTTGGTTACAAAGGATTTTTGTTATGGTTAAAATTGAATTAAATTGTAAATGTTTAAGTAAACAGTGAATTTCGCAAATTAATTATTTTTTAAAGGAGTAGGCATTTGTACAATTTTTTATTTGTTTAAACTTAATTTTGGACAATAATGGTGATGACTTTTGTTTCAGGTCACCAACGCCTCCTCCAAAACGAATTAAAGAAGTGTAAGTATTATAATTTTACCATTGTTTTTCTTTTTCCATTAATGTTATTTGTATTCTATATTTGTGTATATTAAAAATTACTAAAACTTTAAGCAGATGTAAAGTAATTTTAAAACTGTAATGTAATATGGCTACCTCAATAAAATTATATTTTTCATAACAGTAGGGGAATGTTGATAAAATCCAATAAAAAATCCAAGATTCTTTTTAAAACCATTTACAAGTCACACCTCAATAGTATTTTGTGATATCCAAGATTGATTATGCTGTGCCACTCTCATTTTAAGTCCTGCTTAATATATTTGTTGCATTTTTTTTACATATGTAAGTTTGAAGGCTAAAACATTGTGACTGTATAAAAGTGTCATTAACTGTTATTTTATCTTGCTTATCATCTTAAATAGAGATCCAGGAAAAACAGAAAAAAAGGCAGTTGCAGTTGCAGAAACAGCAGAAGTAGATGGTTAGTAATTTGTAGTATGATAGAACTGAAAAAAGATAAATAATTAAAGGTGTAAATAATAGTCCACTAGATTAGTCTCTCAAAAAAAAAATGTTTCTTGTACTTAGACAGTGTTTATATCTATGTAGATACTCATCCTGTTAATACCAATTACTCACATTAATAATCACTTTGCTTTTCCAGTAAAAGTATGGCTAGGATTTTTTAAGCCTATTTGCAAAGGGATTTATAGTTTCCTTAGATATGCTAACTACTTGAATTTTATTTATTTTAAACCTGCTTATGCTACTAAATTTATGTCCTATTTCAATTTACCTGAATTTCAAGTTACTGAGTCCTCTTTAGCATTTATAAAAATAAATGACATAAAATGGAGCACTTACTTTTGTTAAAGATTAATTGCGAAAAAGATAATCAAAATGAGTTCCCTTTGTACTCCTTATTAGTTTATCTTCTGTAAATATCTGTTACAGTGTCTAAACTAGAAGGTCTTGATGAAGAGCAAGTTAACATGATGAAACTTATGGGATTTGCAACATTTGACACAACAAAAGTGAGTATCTCAAAATACTAAAAAGATATAATCTACTTAACTATTTTACCAGCTAATAGGTTTGGTTTTGATATAACATTTGGAGCTGTAGAGCTATACATTATGTAATTTTTTTTTATTTATCAAATAGGCTTTCAATTTCACATGGGATAGTCTTTAGCTGATTTAAAAATCTATTTGTTATGCAATAAGCCCATAAAAAAGTGTAGTGTGTTTTCCTTGATTTAAGAAAGATCATGAAAAGATATTCTAAAATATATCACACTGAAATGGTTCTGTTGGGAGGGGGTGGGGGTTTGCGCCTAAACATTTTGAGATATCTCTTAGGTTGCAAGCTATGACCTGTCAGAAATAGGATTTTTAAGAGACCATGTTGAAAAAATATTTTCTAGTAGTTTTACAATTGAAATATTTTTTAGCTTCTTTCTACATCTGTTGACGAATGGGCTAAGAAATACGATTGGTTTGGGACCATCCATAATTATATCATATGTGCACAGAGAAGAGGGGGGATGGGGTTGTCTTGCGTGTACAGGTGTGCATGGGAGGGGGGAAGGTATCTACATATTTTTAAAGGCTATAAAATAACACCGCATCACTCAGTAATGATGATGATTTTCATATTGTTGCTTTGTGTTTTAATAATGAAGTCGCTAGATATGGCAACAATTATATTAAGCGTAGTCGCCCAAGTGACAAATTCATTACCAATTTTCAAAACCCATTTGAGAGCTTTTTTATTCTGATAATCAGACAATTTGGATTTGATGTTTTTTTTAGATTTTTTAAAATATATTTGCAGGGTAAAAAAGTTGATGGAAATGATGTATCTGCAGTAAATTTACAAAGAAAAAGAAGATATAGGTGAGCTATTTTGATTAAAAATATATTTTACCTCTATTATATATAATTATTGGAACATTGTTTTATACATATTGTTGTTATATTATATGATTTACTGGTAGTGATATGAATATGTTCGATTTATTTTTCATAATTTAAGTTAAATTTAGGTGGTCTCTTTCTAAACAATTAAAATTGTGTTGCACTGATTTTAGAGATAAAATATACCAGGGTATGACAAATACAAATATTCTTGGTGTATTGTATGACTTCTGGACTCCTTGTCCTTTAAGAAAATTCTTGGTTCGATCGTAAAACCTAGTTTTAATTTTGACTTGTTTCTTAATTTTTAAAATTTCTTAGTTAAGTTGGTTTTTTTTTAAATCTTCACGCACATAAAGTTTTAAAAACAAAACCTAAAAACAAAGTTCATCATATAAATCCTTTATAAAATGTAATATCAAGCAATGGGAAGGTGGGGCTTAAAATTTGACAAAACATGCATAATGAATATTTCTTTCACTCCTCTGAACTATATTAATATTCTAATTCCCACCTGCTTTTACACAGCATATTTATTTCACCAAAAATTTTAGAAAAAAAAAATTTTTAATATTAAACACCAAATGCACTTGCGACATATTTTATTTTTTTTTAAATCACATTTAGCACAGTTATCGGAAATTTCATTTAACTTCCCCTGGAAATCTGATTTTTGGGGTTGGGGCTGAAAATTTGATATATAATGTTTTGTCATCTGCAATGAGTCTCTGTGTCAAGTTTCAGCTCGATGGGTTGACTGGAAGTGGGTTAATTAGCCGCCAGCCACCCATGAACAAAAGCGAAGTTAATATAAAAGATTTTTAAAAGAAAGCATACGAAAACCTACTATTTTAAGAAAATACACAAAAAGTTTTAACTAAATATCCACAAAATTAAAAGCTTTGGTTGTGGTAGTAAAATTAGGGCACTTTAATGAGCCTTATATATAGAATATTTGAAAATAATTATAACCAGCGACCTTAAACCCATTAAGGTTAACAAGAGGACAAATTTGAGTTCCTATCCACAACACACCTACCTATGTCATTATTAATTTTGTCTTCAATTAGAAATTGTGACACCAATCACTTAAAAACTTGAATTTGAAACACATAGTTTAGAGTGTAGACGGTGGGCCAGTTCTTTGTTTAAAAATTTAAAAGGTTTAAAGGTCATGCTGACCACCTTTTCTAAGCATTCAAAAGGAATGATTGGCAGAGAACAATTTAGAGTAATGCATTAACATTTTGTTGTAAAGACTTCACTTGCATGTGACCTCAAGCTTGTTTTATATGTTTTGACCAAGATTAAAGACAGACGTGTATATTTTAATTTTCAGGCAATACATGAACAGAAGAGGAGGATTTAACAGACCTTTAGATTTTGTGGCATGATGTTCTCTTTCTATTAGACATTTTATTTTTTTACCTCATTTACAAATGAAAAGCTACATGACTCCATCAACATGTGGTTAAAGAAAATATACAGTGATTAGGGATTAGGAATGACGACTGTTGCATTAATGTGCAAAAAAAAGAAACTTGAGTTTTTGTAAAAAAGCTCTGAGTGTGTGGCCAGGTATATCTAATTTATATCCTTGAGGTCACTTTAATTGGTGTTTTGTTTGAAACTAGAAATAATTTTGTGTAGTAAATGGAGATTTAAAAAAAACAACAAGAAAATCACTTAGGATAATTTAAAGTGATTTTAAAGTTTTATGGTTAAGAACTAAGTATATGGTACACAACAATGAACTATTTTGTCACATCGTTGTGACAACTTTTGCAATATAAAAAAAAAATATCCTCATCTGTTTTACATTTAACTGTTCCCATGTGTTGCTGCTACTGAATAAAATTGATAATGTCAGTCTTTTTTGTTTTTGTTCTATTTTTAATGTTTATTCAACTGAAATATAGTCCAGCTGGGAAAAGAGGAGAGTTTTAGATCTGAGCCCAGTATTATTTCATTTCTTATTCATGATGTGTTTGTTAAAGAAATCATCAATGTTATAAACATCAGAGTAAAATAACTTAAGTTTTGCTATTGAAATACCAGTATAAGAGTACACTTACTGGTTTCTGATACTCGATTATTAGAATGCATAACATGTCAGTTGTCAAGTAAAATAACCAGCTATAAAATTAGCTAACTGTGAGTCAATTCTTGACCTGTTTAAAAGTTAAATATTACCAAAACTATTTTACTACATTTTCTTGGCCTGGCTGCCTGCCTTCTTTTTGATGTCATGAAAATGAAAACCTGAGAGACAAACATTAAGTTTAGTTTTGGAAAACCTTACAGTTATGAACGGTACCTGTGTAATATGAACTCTATCATGCGTACTATCTCTAGACATCGTTTATCACAACACTAGGCCTTGTGGTTGTACCTATCCCAACTCTAGGCCTTGTGGTTGTACTATCCCTACTCTAGGCCTCGCGGTTGTACTACCCCAACTCTAGGCCTCGTAGTTGTACTATCCCAAAACTAGGCCTCATGGTTGTACTATCCCAACTCTAGGCCTTGTGTTTGTACTATCCCAACTCTAGGCCTCGTGGTTGTACTATCCCAAATCGAGGCCTCGTGGTTGTACTATCCCAACTCAAGTCCTCGTGGTTGTACTATCCCAACTCCAGGCCTTGTTGTACAACCCCAACTCTAGGCCTCATAGTTGTACTATTCCAACTCAAGTCCTCGTGGTTGTACTATCCCAACTCCATGCCTCGTGGTTGCACCATCCCAACTCTAGGCCTCATGGTTGTACTATCCCAACTATAGGCCTCGTGTTTGTACTATCCCAACTCTAGGCCTCGTGCTTGTACTATCCCAACTCTAGGCCTCGTGGTTGTACTATCCCAACTCTAGGCCTCGTGGTTGTATTATCCCAACTCTAGGACTTGTACTATCCCAACTCTAGGCCTTGTACTATCCCAACTCTAGGCCTTGTACTATCCCAATTCTAAGCCTCGTAGTTGTACTATCCCAACTCTAAGCCTCGCAGTTGTACAATCCCAACTCTAGGCCTAATGGTGTGAATCGAATTGCGTAATTTGTCATTGGAAACAAAAATTTGGGCCCAACTCTAAGCCTCGTAGTTGTACTATCCCAACTCTAAGCCTCCCAGTTGTACTATCCCAACTCTAGGCCTAATGGTGTGAATCGAATTGCGTAATTTGTCATTGGAAACAAAAATTTGGGGGAGGTGGTAAAGTTTAAGGAATGTCCTCTATATACAATCAAAATTATCCATCCATAGATATGATGATACTTTCTCTAAAAATAACTGATGCATCTGGTTAGACATTTTTTATAGCTTAGTTTTATTTATGATGTGCATGTGCCTAATCTTTGTGTGCGTGACATCTCCATTGCCCGGGCCATTGGCATAGTCTTTTTGTAAAGCGGGCCAAAGATGAAGGAGAAAAAAATAGTGTTGCTCTTGGTTGTTGTTGTTTTTTTTGTTTTTTTTTGTTTGACTATTTTGTTTTAGTTCTAAAAACATCATTTAAGCCAATAGGACGAAACCATAAGCTTATAATTAAAAGTGGTCTTTAAAACTGTTGGACATTGGTGGTCATGTTAAACGGCTTCTCGTTGACGCTACCGCTAGAAACCGACATATTCCAACGAAAGGCGTCCAGCCATGGAAGAGATCAAGTGTGATGGAAAGGAGAGCATCGGTGCCACTGGTAAAAATGACAACAGCGATAATCAGTTAATTGATTCCCAATTCGACGAAAACGTCAACCTCGAAAGTCAACGCGACCAAGATTTTACTCCACGCAGCATTTTAGATGGAGGAGATATTTCACACGAAGTCGGGAATGGCGACATTTTGGACACAGAAAATGGGAAGTCGCTCACTAGTGACAATTTGGACACAGAAAATGGGAAGTCGCTCACTAGTGACAATTTGGACACAGAAAATGGGAAGTTGCTCACCAGTGACATTTTGGACACAGAAAATGGGAAGTCGCTCACCAGTGACAATTTGGACACAGAAAACATGAAGTTGCTGACGAGTACTGAAAAAGAAGATGAATTACGCAGTTCGGAATCAGAGATTGCCAAAGGAACCGAGGATCTGCTTACAGAGCTGGGAAACCCGGGCAAGTTTGTCATCTGTCAAATCCTGCTGCACTTCCTGTGTGTGTTCGGAATGAGTAGCCCGGCGCTCATCTATGTCTTCATTGGTCAGTTCAAAAAATTATCCGTTTGTCTCGCTTTGTCTTTGTTAGGTTATATCGTATTGTAAATGGCAACGTGTTCCTATGGGATTGTCGTTCCCTTTCCCGTCTAAGCCTCTCAGTTGCATTAAGTATTCCTTCTGTGTATGTATACTTGTCTATCCAAATTTCAGGATCGTAATAGATTTTTTTGTAAGCTGTGAGATCTAAGCGATATAATCACCATAGCACATGAATCAATCCTAAATAAGCATTATAATTTAGATTGTAGTATACCCTTTGAGCTTCGAGATTTTGAGCACTCATGGGGCAGCGACATATTGTGCTCCTTTGTAAAGATGATATGAAATAACATAATGATAGTGTAGGTCTTTGTAAAGATACTGCAAAACAATATATTTTACTCCTTAGTAAAAATAATACAAATACAATATTGTTACATTCAGGTTACGAGCCTCCACACAAATGTCGAAAGATGACCAACGAGTCCACATACTTAGCGAGCTACGAGCTCCCCAACTCTTCAGTACATCTTGTCTATGACACATGCTCTATTTCCGTTGTTAGAAATTCCAGCGGGGAAGTTCAGACTGTGGATACCATTGGATGTATCCAAGGGAATGATTATGGAGGGCAACAGCACATCTCTTTTGTGGCAGAGGTAGGGTAATGTATTTATAGAAATTATGGTAGAGATGATAAATTTGTTTTATGTCAAGGTCTGAAGTCTGAGCATGCGGATGTTGTAACACACACACACACACAAAATGGATTATATATGTAGCCTACCGTTTGACCAAAAAAAAAAAAAAAAACTATAGAGGACATTAATTTCAAGTAAATGGTAAAACAATTAATTACCTTCTGCTTATGTAAATTTACGTGAGGTTTACAGGCAATTCAGGCTCATG